AAAAAAAAAAAAAAAAAGCATTAAAAAAACCCTTTATCTCCTTACATGGCAAACCTTGAAAGTAACAGGTTTCATAAAAAACAGAGTTCATAAAAATCTGGAATCTGAATGTTTTTTCCTGTGCTCACAATCACAGTGGTTCTAAACAAAAGCTGTCACAGCAACAGAAGAAAATGTTAAGTTCAGAAATTTTAAAAATGGAGTTTATTATAAATTTCTACTGGATCTGCTTTTTAAATTATTTCATAGAGTCCCTCTCTTTATGCCCTGCTAAATTAACTTGAACAATGGTATTTAACATTTCTTTTGTACAGAAATGCTGTGCAACTTTATGTGTACATGAATCCAAAACACACACTTGATTGTTAGATATGGCAAATATGGAAGCACTTGTGACCTCTATTTCTAGCACTTTAAATCATTCCTGAAAACAATCAGCTGTCTGTAAAAATTTGTTGTAGACCTCCATAATACAGATTGAAACTGATTTGTTTCTATTATTGTGAAAGGGATGACTTTACAATAGTCTTGAAGTCCTTCAGAATAAATAATTTGTAGCCCATGTTAACTGTTAAGAAAATGGTCTTTACAACAGTGATGTGAACTACAGAAGGAAGTTTTTAAAACTTTGATACTCAAAGAACTTTGAGAGAATCACTTGGATCAGTAGTTCTCAGCAGAGGGCACCTTTGTCCCCAAGGAGATAAATGGCAATATCTGGAGACATTTTTGTTTTTCACAATTGTGGAAATGCTAATGAAATCCGGTGGGTAAAGACCAGAGATGCTGCCAAACATTCTATACCACACAGTAACCACCCCCCGCCCCACTCCCACCACCGTGAACCAACAAAAAATTATCCAGCCCAAAATGTCACTAAAGCCAAAGTTGAGAATCCCAAGAAGTTCTGTATAGTCTTAGGACTCTAAAAAAAATTGAAAAATTAAAAAAAAAAAGAAAAAAATTCCATCTGATTATAATCATTCCAAGGTTACATGATTAGGGTATCTCAAGGATGAATTAATTAATTCATGCCACTAGACTTTCAAAATACTACAAATAAGTCATTGATTCAGGGTGCTACATAGCTGAGTCAAGTTAATCCTAAATGTATTTTTAAAATAAGAAATATCTTAATCATTGGGAATCCCTGGTTTAAGAATGTATTTTCTTTAAAAAAAGAATACTTAAATTTTAGAAGAAAGTTTCCATAGTTTTCTGAAGAGGTTAAAAACATGGGGGAAAAATTATTTTATTCTTGATGCTAGCTCCCACAGAGACCAAAAGATCAGTGTTAATATGTGGCTCAAATAAATAGCTGTTATTTTTTGCCACAAATATTATTAAATATCTTAGTTTCCTATGTGTTTTATTTATTTTTCTCAAATTTTGGTGTCATAACCTATTGTTTTATTACTATGTATAATGAAGAAAATTTCTATGTATTCTTTTTTTTTTTAATTAGGAGTACTTGCATATAAAATTCTAGGGAGTATTTGCAATACAACCTATGCTTTCCAGAAACTCCTATTTATGAATCAGTATGACTTGAGAATTATCTCAAGTATTGGATTGTTATTTTTTTCTTCATTCCAATGCCAATTTAAATCTTAAAGAATTACCTAGAGTTAAGGAGATGGAATTCTGAAGAATCCCTGGTTGAAATGCCCAGTAAGTTTGTTGACTGCCTGGGGGGAAGAATTAAGAGCAAAATAGATTTCTTGAAATAATAGGTTACTTGATTATGTTTTCATGAATTATATTTGGACACTGTGTTATGAGGAAGTGAGGTGAATTGTTTGTTCTCTGACTTTTTAGCTAAGAATGAAACGTTGGCATTACCTGCTGAATCTAAAACACCAGAAGTAGAAAAAATCCCAGCACGGCCTGTAACAGGTAATGCGGTCCCTATGTTGTTAATTTTGAAAGAATAAATATTTTTTGAAATGGTAAATGATTGACAAGTTTACACCTTTTTTCAGTGAGGGGCCATTAGGAAATTAATCTTCATCATAAGCACAAACAGAGAGATTGTAGATCCTTAATTTAACATTTGGAAAACCAACTGATGCAGAAGGAACTATTGAATCTTATGACCCATATGTAATATGGAAGATATATTTTTCACTCGCAATTAATATTGTCACCTCAACATTCTAAAATATTTTTATACTAAAATGTAATACTGTGGTTTTGGTGCCTTCCTTTTATATGAAGACATGAGTTCATTTTTCATTTCTTCACTTTTGCAAGTGGTCAGTTTAGCAAAATGCCATTATCCCTCCAAAATCTGTAGCTTGATATCTATGAAGGCAGCCTGGAATCACTTAATCTATAGAAGATTATGAAAGATTAACAATCCAAATATAAAGAAAATATATAATAGTTCAGTAAAAATCCTTTCAAGAATAAATGTGGATACATTTTCCCCATAGTTGATCAGCCGTTACTAACAAACATTCAAGCATTTCTTCTCTAATGAACTGCCCAAGTCCAGGCCACTGGGGACATGTTATTCTCTGAACCACAGAGTTTTTGCCAGAGCAATACCGCTTTATCCAAGTCCCAGTGAAACAAACATTTGCCCAGAATTTCCCCAAATCCACACTTAGCAAAATATCTCCAATCTAAAGTGAATTTTTTCATCTGTAAAATTACCATAAATTGAAATATCCGTGACATTTACCTTGTACTAAAGTCTTGGATTCATAACTGGTCCAGAAAAGATAAATATTAGTAGGGAAATAAAATAACATGATTTCAAGAAACCTATTCAAGTAGGAATATTTCTGCCAGAGTAAGAAGTATATGCTTCCACCTACATGGGAGATGGACCTTCCATTCCCCACCTTCACGGGTGTGGGTCAAAGGTAGAAGCTATTTAAGATGCTGGAATAGTCTATTCAAATAAAATTCCTGGGTAACTTTTCTAATTTCAATATAATTTGTCAATACCAAGAAAAGCATAGGCATGACTCAGTGGATGACTCCAAGTCCTTTTCTGCCCCAAAGATTGTATTAATTTTTCCCAGTTATACTTTATTGTCTTAGCACAGTATCTGATGGGAGAGTCTACGAATTTTAGTTCTCTGCCAAACCGTATTCACAGTTTTCCACTTCAGAAACACTTAGGCAAACACCATACCTCATTATTAAGTATTGTGTTTATTTTGTGTCTTTATCCTGCAAAATTCTGGAGTCATGTAGCTCACAGTTCATTCCGAATCCCAGTGATCCTGGTTCTTATTTACCTGAGCTCATCTTTGCCTTTGATTTAGCATTTGGAACAACCTTGTGGTTGAGCTTTTGAATCCTTAACATAATTTCAACCCCGTTCCAAGTTTTGCATGTTGACTGCAGTTTGGAAGAGAGAAATATTTAATGTAATAGTTTAAAATAAACCTTTTTGCCTTGGATTGTTCTTTTATTTGCCCATTTATTAATTCATTTAATAGATATTTGTCCCATGCTTGCTTACTCCAGACGTTGTGCTAAGCCCTGGAAATAATGAGAAGGAAAAAAGCAGGCAAATAAAAAATTATGATTAGTAAGTACTTTCATGGTGGTCAGTTCACTGTGCTTTTTGGAACACATCGAAAGTGCACCAAACTTAGCAAGGAAGGGTTGGGAGAAGTGTCAGCTCAGGTGCCTGGGGCAAGCCAGGGAGTCCTTCATGGACTTGAAAAGGATTGGTATATATAAGAGTCCGTTACTAATTCTAACTGGACACCAAAAGTGCCTTATGATCTTTGGTTGCTTCATCATTTTATCTTAATTTACAAGTTGTTTTTTTTTACCTTCCAGTGACTCCTGAGTCAGTGCCAAGAACCACGAAACCTACTGTGTCTAGTGCATTAGACTTTTCAGAAAAAACACTGGGTAATTCTAAGAACTTTTTTTTTCTTTAATAATTCCCAACACTCATAGAAACAAAAAGAAACTCCAATGCCTTCATTCCCACCTCCTTGATTTCCCTTGCTCTCTTACTAGCAGTAGTGAACCTTCCTATTTCTTGGACTAATTCCATTAGAGAGTTAACGTGTTTGATTTTGGTGACTCATATTTTAGGCAGCCCTAGATTCTAGATGCTGACTACACACACTTTTTACCAGTCTTTTGGGATGTATAGGAAAAACAAAAAACAAAAAACAGAATGCCAGTCTTTTAACCCACAAATCTTGCAGGGGTAGGGGAAACCTGGAAGTCTTCACTGTGTCTGTGTTTTCTGTTTCAATAGGCTTCCTGAGTCTTACGTGCATGACACTTCAGGAGAATCCCCAGAAGTGTCATGACTTTTAATAAGAACTTCATGTCATGCAAGTTAGCAGGTGCTCGGTCCAAGAGAATCTAACTTGCTTTGTCCTTTTCTGCTGAAGAAAAGGAGCAGCATGTGATTTCTTGTGTACGTGTGATGTTGATCTTCCATGTCACACCACACCCTTTGAACCTATACCTTCACATTTTAACAGCTATGCAAAGCTTTTCCTGGAGGCGCCAGCTTTTCCCATGAAAGGCATCAGCTGCCCGGTGCACCCCGTGTAATGAGCATGCTTCACATGATGATGTGTTAACCACAGTGTCAAATCCTGACTCAGGGAGTTGCTGACTCAATTCTTCTTTATTTTAGTTCTCAGCGAAAGGACCCCGGAAACACTGCAAACTATTCTAATACCTAGGTTTGAATTGTCACTGAGCACTCTAGGTAAAAATTATTAAACATTACAGCTTGTTATTACCTTGGAAATTTAATGCATGCTTTAAAGAAATCCTTAGGCTAATTCATTCAAATTGATCTCCTCTTAGGAAAGAAGGGACAAATGCTTTATAGAACCGTAAGCTCCCCAACGTCAAGCCCTTAAATGTTAGAAAACATTTTATAACTTAGGATCCTGAAGAGTCTTTATGACAAATCCTTTCATGGTTTTTCTTTTTGGCGGTCATATTTTGATATTATATGTGATTCTTCTTACTCAAAATCACTGTGTCACTGAATAAATTATTTTCTATACTTTTTCTAAATATCTTTTTACTCCATTGTTTATCCTGGCCGAGAAGATGAATTTATGGTCTTTTTTGTAGACTGTTTCTTAGAATTTATTTATGAGTGCAATATCAAAAATTGTTGGAGGAGTAGGTTAAATATAAAGCCATGTAGTTACTGAGATTCTATCCTTAAAAGCCATTAGATGGACATTTTTTAGTTCAGATGTGTTTAGTGCTTGATTTGAGTTAAAATGAAATATATCTAAGGGCACACAAACACATAATTAAAGAAATTAGGAAAGTCATTTAGTAAAGGTGAAATGGAGAACCCAAATTCTTCAAATCTAGCAGCTCGATTATAAAGAATAGAACAAGAAGCTTGATTATAGTAGCCAGCACTGAAATCACAAGAATAAGAAATACGACTAACAACAATTTACTTGACATGAATAATTTTCCTTTTTGTGTCTTTTTTGTTGTTTTTGCAAGCTTGAAATTTTGAAAAATCTTTTCTCTGTTCCTTGTACCTCACTAAGGTTGTAACATGTCTTATATGTTTCGTTGCAGCTCCGAAAAGCCTTCCAGAATTTCCTCAGGCAAAAACACCCTTCCCTTTTGAGAAACCTGGGGGCACCTTGGGTAATAACAGCACCTTAAACCTGGTGTTAAGATGGGGGTGCAGATTGCTTAATTGTGTAGGCCACATTTACTGGATCCTATGTCAGCAAACTTCAACGTACTGATGAATTTGGGTAACTCAACCAAACAAGGGATTGATTTAAAAACAAAAAACCCTTATTTGATGACATTTTCTACAACTTCAGTAACAGTCATCATTATGTTAATTCTATATAGATTTAGGTTTTGTCCTCAAAAATGTTGAAAGTATGACACCAAATTCTGGCCTGTTTCTGATCACTAAATGCTCTCTGGATGGATGCATAATGATTTCCCAACTTTTGATTGAAATAGTGTGTGCTTTTAATTGCAAGCTTCTGGTAGTCACGTAACCATACCGGCAACCTATTTGTATTTTTCTCCTCTCAAAAAATAATCTTCAGCGACTTCCATTTCTTTTTGCTGTAGCTTCCATTGAAAAGCCATGGATTGTGCCTACAAGTAAAATATATGAAGATTCCAAACCTCTCCCACCTCAAACTGGTAATTTTTTTCTTTTTTCTTTTTAAAATCAATTGGAACAACAGTATTGAATAACTTCTCTTATTTTTATTTTTATAGGTTCCTTAGTTGATATCAAAATACTTGTAGTAAATGGTAAAGCTATAATGCATTCTTTTTTTTTTTTTTAATTTTTTTTTTCAACATTTATTTATTTTTGGGACAGAGAGAGACAGAGCATGAATGGGGGAGGGGCAGAGAGAGAGGGAGACACAGAATCGGAAACAGGCTCCAGGCTCTGAGCCATCAGCCCAGAGCCTGACGCGGGGCTCAAACCCACGGACCGCAAGATCGTGACCTGGCTGAAGTCAGACGCTTAACCGACTGCGCCACCCAGGCGCCCAAGCTATAATGCATTCTTGATACTTGGAGGAATGTTGTGTTTTTCTCAATGCCAAAGTAAAACAGCTTTGTGTTTGTTTTAAAATTCTGTTTTAACGTCTGGATATATAATTAGAAGGGTGGCTAGAAGGTGAACTGTGAATTGGCACATGGATTTTCTAGAGACCTCTGTAGTGACATTGAGAACAGTAACAAAAATAAGGTATCTTGGGTCTGATGTGTATCAGCTTAATGTTTCCCTTGCAGGTGGATATTTGTTTTTTGTTTTTTGTTTTTTTCCAACAAAAATATTCAGTAAACAGTAGAGAGCTCACTATGTGCAGGGCATTGCTAAGTACTAAAATCTGTTAAGAACATTGTGATAAAGAGGAAAGACCACAGGTCTTGGCATTAAAAATGGACCTTGATTCCTGTTCTGGCTTTCCCATTAACGGTATACTTTAGCTCTTTTTCTACTTTCCTGGGTCTTAGTTTGTTCTTTTATAAATTGTGGCAATTGGCTTTTTCTCCTGAGAATTCTTTGTCCCACCATTAAGACTGATGAGGGAGACAGCTTCCCTTTAAAAAAAAAAAAAAACACAGCAATAACATATTTTCTTAATTAAAAAGTTATTTCCTATACATCTTGTCTTTGCTAGGGGTCTAGCAACTAAAGAGAATAGTCAGCATGTGAGAATTATACTAAAACCTCAGAAACCACTTGGTATGATTACATCCATGATTTTTTTTTTTAATTTTTTTTTTCCAATGTTTATTTATTTTTGGGACAGAGAGAGACAGAGCATGAACAGGGGAGGGTCAGAGAGAGAGGGAGACACAGAATCGGAAACAGGCTCCAGGCTCTGAGCCATCAGCCCAGAGCCTGACGCGGGGCTCGAACTCAGGGACCGCGAGATGGTGACCTGGCTGAAGTCGGATGCTTAACCGACTGCGCCACCCAGGCGCCCCTCCATGATTTTTGTTTTACTTGTTTGTATTTAATTGTTGTGCACTTCTAGTTGTGATGCTTTGAGTACATATAATATAGTATGTAATGTAGTTGAAGTTCATGTAATGAAGTTAAGTACACTGACATTTTGTGGTATTTTCCAGAAAGGATTCCAGCAGAGGACTGGTTTGAGAAAGGATGAGAATGAGCCTTCAGAGGCATAGATGTTAGCTAATTATTCCTTCTCTGTTACATGTAATGGGCTCAGATCTCAGCAAAAGATAAAAGGATGGCATCACATGAAGTAAGCATGTCTATTATAGTCTCCCCTAGTTTTCTCCAGTGGGAAAACACTTGAAAGTTGGTGATGGTTGTCAACCATCCAGAGAAGTCTCAAATTGGGTCTAACACGGGCTTCGTTCCCCTAGAGTCACTGACCCTGAAACTGTAATGCAATTACTTAATGTGGGTGCAAAAATATCCTTAGCATTCCAGGTCACCTGAGTCTAAAATCTGGGTCCGGGGTAGAGTTTCATATGGAGCCATTCCACAGGCCCAGCTGCACTGTGGCTGTGGAGCAACAACCAGTCTGTGGACCTGTGTGATGGTTTATCTCCTGCACTGTGGCATGCCTGGCCTGGCTCCCATGTCCTTCATGAGGATTATGGCTCTCAAACCAAACTAGGGCGCATGGGACTAAATAAAGGCTTAGGCCCCTTTCATCTCTTAGCTTGGGTTATTTACCTTGGAGGCATAGGGCAACCTGCATTTCCGTTGAGCAGCCTGTAGTTTTTTTGTGTCTATGATTATTCAAGAATGAACTGACCAGAGCCTCAAGGAAACTGCTTATGGAATTTTAATGGCTAGGACATGAAATATATATAAATCCTGAACTGAACTAAGCTTTGGGGAGGGAGGAGAATATTTTGGGAAGGGAGGATTGTACGGTTACAAAGAGAGATGAAATTAAAGATCCTAGTGAAGGAAAAGTTCCTTTTGCCTTTAATTCCAGAAAGGAATATTCTGGCCTTGCTCTGATGGAGTATAAATAGTGGCTAATGCAGCAGGAAGTGCTTGCATTATTCCGTTACCTCACTGCTGCCAGAGCAACCTTAAGCTGCCAGAGAACTTCCAACTTTGACTGCCAACCCCCTCTGGATGAAGTGTTGGGCTTGTCATGGCTGTAACAGTTCAGTAGGTAATGATCTCAGGCATGAGCATTGGCCCTAGAAATTTGCAAGCCTTCCCTCACAACACTTAAATTTTATATTTCTGCTACTTATTATGCTCCTTGGAACAGCAGCATTGGCATCACCAGGGAAGTTGTTAAAAAGGCATAATCTTGGGCTCTACTCCAAATCTACTGAATCAGGATCTGCTTTTTATTTTTATTTATTTTTTTTTTCAACGTTTATTTATTTTTGGGACAGAGAGAGACAGAGCATGAACGGGGGAGGGGCAGAGAGAGAGGGAGACACAGAATCGGAAGCAGGCTCCAGGCTCTGAGCCATCAGCCCAGAGCCTGACGCGGGGCTCGAACTCACGGACCGCGAGATCGTGACCTGGCTGAAGTCGGACGCTTAACCGACTGCGCCACCCAGGCGCCCCAGGATCTGCTTTTTAAACAAGGTCTCCAGGGAATTGGTATGAATGTAAAGTTTGAGAAGCACTACCTTATCACTAACCTCTAATATTTTACACCTGTAGGTAAGAATCATCAAATGTAGTCAGTTGTAGGATGGGAGGCCTCAAGTCAGTATAAGATTGGTTTCTCAAAGTGGGTGATTATGTCTTGTTTCTACTAATGCTTCTATCTCTTATGTAAGTGTTCTGTGTGGCATCTTCGTAACATGTTAAAATTAAAATTTATCCTATATATTGTGACTTAAAGAGTTGATATATTCATGCTATCCTTTCATTCATTTAAGACTTTCCTGTTTCTTGTGATTAATTTTGTGTGAATTTATACGTGTACTAAGTTTCTATTTCCTATTTAGTTTCAATGTATAGGATTATTTTACTTTCCAGTCATTCACCGTGGTTTCCTAATGGAATTGTTTTAGAAAGTCAGAAGAGAGAGGGGTAGAGATAGTAGTGGAATGCTGGTCCATAATATCATTCGTCCCATTTTTAGTTATTATATGTTTTGAAGAAATGATACATTTTAGCTGGCGTTAATGATATTATTAACACTTTTTGTTAATAATGAACACATTTTGTTTTCTTTGGGGTATAGTGTGTCTGTATTTGCTATATGAACTCCCTTCAGCCAAAGACCACTAGGACCACACCTGTATTTGAACAAAGTTAAAGCTATTGCTCATTCTAACAATGGAGAATGCAGAGCATGAGGAACTGTGGGGTCCTTGGTAAGAGGGTACTAGAAAGGACTCACTGTAGGACTTGGTCTTGTTTTAGGTGATTCTGGGGAGGGTCCAAGGAAGCAACGCCTGGATTGGCTGCTGCCAAAAAACGGGAGTAATTCCATAACCAAGTATCTTAATTCTTAACTAGAAGGCAGGAAGAACAGTGAAGTTGTGATTGGTAAATCCATATTAGCCAGAAAGTGGGGATAGTAATTTTTGTTTTGCACACAACCAAACAGTGGTCTTGTTTTTGTCTTGATCTGTGTCAGTCACCCAGCGGTCTTGTCTGATATCAGTGTTACTTCAAATTGTTGATGTTGAGCAGGAGAGTGCCACAGCCCAACTGTGGGTGCCAGGCCAACTCCTGGGTGCCAGAGGCTGCTTTTCTCTTTAACAACCATTAAGTGTGACTTACCAGTACCTTTTGTAGAATTCATTTTGCTTCAGCATTTACTAGATTTGTTTTCCATATTTACTTCATGTTTTGTATCAAATGATCACAGCGCATGCTCTCAGAAAGCTGTCTGTATTACTTTGGGATATAAAAAAGCTGTATGGAAATTCTAATTTGCATGCTGATTATTTAAATCCCTAGGTCAATTCAATAGATTATGAAAGAGTGAAATAGGGTATTTGGAATTTGGAATATTGTGGAAAATCTGAGAAGTGTAATCATCAAACATGTTCTTCCCCACTTTTAGCCTATTTGCTCCAACCTTAGTATGGCATTTTTTGATCTCATCATTTAGAATTGTATTTTGTATTCAACCTTCTCTAAAGTATGTTGAAGTAGGATTGATTGATATCTTTATTCTCTTGGCAAACCTAAGTTTTCTTAAAGTTTAGAAAAGAGAGGATTAAAATCTGCTCTATAATTATACATCAGAATGTATACTCTTTAAAATAAATTTTATATTAAAAGAAAGTTGGCCACCTTTTAAAAATACGTAAGTGCTTGTAACAAAAACTCAGGAAAGAAAATTTTTCTGATGACATGATAGAATTGGTCTTAGGTTCTATTGAAAAGTGGCCAGTTGACTATGATTTCTGTGTAGTATAGAGTGAGTTCTAGAAGAGTAGTCTACCTTCCGGTCCCCCAAAGAAGTGTGCATTTGTGTGTATGTGCATGCACTTGTTGAATTGCTTCTTCATTGGTATAATTTTGTATTTGCACAGCAATTTCCTATTAAGAGATTGAAAGGTTGTATATATACCATCCTATTGATCCTCCAGAAGTCCCTGGAAATAAAGAGCGTTACCATTTTCTTTTAAAGCAACAAGTGAGAGGCTTGCCCCTGAATGAGTAGAGGAGCAAAAATTAGATCCTCATTGGTTTCTTTCCTAAG